AGCCATTAGATTTTTTTAGAAGGCAGTTTTACTGCCTTTTCACTGATGCTACCCTAGCAGTGATAAGGTGGTTAAGGAGGTTGTGGCTGATACTGTGGAAGTGAGATTTTTATTTATTTTTTTTTTAATTCTGGAACTGAAGCCAAAATATCTCTGAAAATCGTAGACTATTGAATCTTGAGGGATACAGATTATTTTCTTAAAATTGAAGGTAATTGAGTTAGATGGAGAACCTGGTTTTAATTTTTTGTTTAAAACGCCCAAATACTGATTCTGGTTTCTTTCTGGAATCAGTTAATGTTTCTGTATGAAACTAACATTAAACAAAAAAATGCTAAATGAGATTATAAATTGCAGTAGTAATGACAACAGGATTTTGGGTCCTGTAGCCAGTAAGAGCAGGGAGAATGGGGTCTCTTGCTAGAGAGGAGGAAGCATTTTTTTTTTTGTATCCTTGAAAGCAGAAGGCAGGGTTGTTGAAGCCAAATTTTTAAATAAGTTAAGTTTTTGTTTCCCAGAGTGGATACGTAATGCCAAGTGAAACTCTCTGTGTGAGAGAGAAAGAGATTGGACACAATGAAGTGGTTAAACATTTTACCTTCCAAAGAAGAACTAAATTTTGCTGTTACAAGGAAAACCACGTAATGTAACTTGACATTGGATTCATAAGAGTGCAGTGATCAGGAAACTTAATAGATCTCGAAGTAAATTCTGAGATTGAATTCACTTAGATTTTGATATGATTTAGGGCGTACCTCAGTTTTGTTACTTGCTTGTTTCTGTGTCTGCAGATGGACAGGCAGCCCACAAGAGTGATTCCGCATCCTCCTCTGGTGACAAAGAGCAGCATGAGAGGTGTGGGAAGCGCAGTTGTAACAGATTTAAGAAAGTTAATGAAATTGGAGAATTTGGGAGGGGTTTGCATCTGCCTAACTGAAGTGTTTTCCTCTTCACCTTGTACACTTTTAAAACGGTGGCAATATCTGATCGGATCTGTTGGTACTGACAGCTGTAACTGGACTCTATAATTTTTTTTTTGAATTGATTTTTTAATAAGCAATTTGTTTTCTAGGCAGGAATGGGGTGAGGAACATTTATATCATGTTTTAATTACTGTGCTTTGCAGAGGTTTATTCAGGAAGAAAACCACCATAGCAGAAAAATGTTTATATAAATAGAGGAAGTGACCGAGGTTTTGTTACATAACAGATGCTCTTGAAAAACTATTTTAAGGACAAACTAACAGATGAGTTTTCAGTCTGATGTCTTTCAGACGTGTGTCTTCTGGCACGTATATCCCAAAGTCCTCAGCAAGTAGGAGCAGTGGTGGGTAGCCTTTCTAATGTTAATCTGCACAGAAATAAGTAACCCCTTGGGCTGTAACTTTCTAAGTGTAAAATCTCTGAAAGATATCAGTGTGTTTTGGGAGGTTCTTCCATCACACAAGTCAAGGTCAGTTCATGGTCTCCACGTACAGAATAGCTGTTTCTTGCATTCATGCTGGTGTGAATATTTGTAAGTGCAAAGAGTTGTGAGAATAATTAACAGCTCAATGTCTGGAGTGACCACTTTCCTTTATTTGCTCACGGATATTAAATATAAACCCATTTAAATGAATATTTAACTATTTAGGAAGTTTATGGACATCCGTAATGTTTTCTGCATTCACTTGCCATCCTCCTAAAAGCAAAAACCTTCTAGCTGCATCCTGAGTTAGAAAGCACCTTTCTCTTTCTCCTTCATTCAAACCAGGTGTCTTCCAGTAAACGGGGAAAGATGGATTAAAGGGAATTCCCAGGGATCGAATGAGAAATGGAGCAAGTCTGTCTGATGGTGATCCAATGCAAATAGATTGTTCGGTGACTATTTTTTGTTCATTGTCTCAGGGAGATGCTTCCAGTGTTTGTAAAAGCTTTCAGTAATGTTCTGTCTACAACCACCTTGGTTTACAATTTTCTCTCGAGCAATTTGAAAACCGCCCAGGATGTTCCCTTTGTGCTGATGTGTGATTTCTGACGGAACCTCATTTGAGGGCACAGCTTTCCTTAGCATGCAGAAATGTGTTCTGTTGACTTTCTTTTTAGGTCTGCTTTGATGGTGTGGGCTGTCTTTCTGACCACACTGCAGCTTTAAGAGATGGTTGTTTTTCTGTTGTTTTACCCGGAATTCCTTGAGAGATTGAAAGTTCAAATGCCAAGGTAACAGAGGTTGTTTAAAAATGTAATTCACAAGTGATTGATTGAAAACTGATTGAATCCAGAATATGTGTGGGTTCAAAGATTGAGTCTGTGGTGAGAATACACTTCAAAGGTGCCTTGCCTTTTTAAAAGGTGGGGTTGTGGTGTTTTTCTTTTGAGTTCTATGTACAAGGCAACTTGATTAGTTTATAAGCAGGAAGGGATTATCTACTGGTAGTCACCTGTAGTTTGTTGCTTAGAAGTCCACTTGTCTCTCCCACTGACGTTTTTACTTTTTTTTTTTTTTTTTTTTACCCATTTTACAACTGATAGGATTTGCAACTATACCCTTGCAGTGCTTGGGCTAAAATAAGAATGTGTCCGCTTCTGACACATCTAAATTAGTTCTGCGTTATGAGATGAAATTATTAGATTTAATTGTAAGCTTTACATATTCTTGGTCAGCAAAACTCGATTGTGGATATTAAAATAGGACTTTTAAGTTCTTTCAGTAACTTAAAACTACTATAAATTGTACAAATAAAATCTTTCAGTGTTTTGCTTCTTTATTCATTGCAATTCTCTTTGGAAGAGCTGTGTGGTTGTTAGTTTTGGGTTTTTTTGGTTTTGTTGTTTTGTTGTTTGTTTTTTTTTTTAATTTGGAGAAGGTCATGTAGAAGGTAACAACATTTACTAAACCAGTGAATGAAAATTATATTTTCCTGTTAGCTCTATTGTGTCAACACTTCTGGCACTCATGGATGGCTTGGCCAGCAGAGGAGAGGTTGTGGTGATCGGAGCCACCCAGCAGACCAGATGCCATCAATCCTGCTTTACAAAGACAGGACGCTTTGAACGAGAGCTCCTCTTCAGCTTGCGAAATAAAGAGGTGAGAACTTCAGCTCAGTCTTAATGCTAATGTGGCAGAGTCCATCTTTATAACAAAACCATGTAACGATGCAGTATCACGGAGCAGTGAAAGTCAGAACCAGTATTGTACAACGTGGACAAAAGAGGGATATTGGAGAGACCGTCTTGCGTTCTGGAGGTCTGATCTGGTCCTGAATGTTTATGATGAAGATTACTTCAGTGAAGTTGTAGAATTACTTTTGATTTCACTGTGACCAGCTAAGAAAACGGGATGCTTCTAGTCAAGGAAGTGTTTAAGAAAGATTGAATGTATGCATTAGTTATAAATTGCTGCTCTCTCATCTTTGAAAGAATGCACACAAGCATTCAATTTTTGATTTAAAAAAAAAAAAAAAAAAGTTTATCAAGGTGCGGGAGTGAATGAAAATGTTTTATTCCCAAAGCAGTTCATGCTGGCTTACTTATTTAATCCACTTAGGCACTTTCAGCCTGAAGCATTCTTGCTCTTGCTTCTTGGTTTCAGCAACAGGAGAGGGGGTGCCATGAAACAGATCAAATACCTTATTCCCTACTGTGGAAGAAATGTAGAAATCTGCCACAATTAACCTGTGTACCAGGAAACACTTCAGTGAAAGTCTTACTCATTGGTGATGAGGATGGGCAACATCTGACTTTTTCTAGATCAGAGACAGTAGTTTGAGTCAGAATTATTATTCCTTGTTACAAGTGTAGCAATTTGAAAGGTTGTGCTAGGACTCTTTTCCCAGAATGAACCGGCAGAAAAGCAAACTTGGTGAACTAATGAGACTGTCACCATGAAGTTTTGCTAAATTTATGAGAATTTTCTTTGGTGAAAAGTCTCTTGTTTGCAAATGAGTTTTGGGGGTTTTTTTTGGTTTTGGGTTTTTTTACTACAGGTTCTTCCTCAGGATCGGTAGGTTTCATACTTGTGGAAACTTGCTTTTTATGGAAGCTCTAAATGCATTTGATTTCCCTGCAGACCCCCAGGAAGAGTTTAGTGGAGCAAGTTGAGAATGATTAAATGTCCTGCTTGAAAAAGCTGAGAGCATATTAACAGCTTTCAAAATCTTAAAAGTTTAGTGGAGAAGTGTTGTTTATATTATTGTCAGGGTCTTTGTGGTTTTGTTTTGTGTTTTTGAGATATTCTTAAGAGAAAACTTAGGACAAACTAAAAGGCAACTAATCTGTTTCCAGTCCAGAAAGGAGATTTTAAAGATTCACACGCAAGGCTGGGACCCTAAGCCATCAGACATGTTTCTTGAAGAGCTAACTGAAAAATGCATTAGTAATTTTGAAACCAAAGTGAGTTACTGTGTGTGACTGAGTCCCAAGAAATCTGGGCTTGTGCCAGGTGGTAACCCAGCTCCTGTGGCATGCCGCAGAGTGAGGCAGTGAGGCAGCTGGCACATCTGGGGAGCAAAGTCAGATGCTTCTTGGCTTTTGATTTTCTTTTTGTCCATCAGAACGTAGAATGGGTTTGGAGCATCTTTCTTGGGAGCAAAGTTTTGACTGTGAGGCTGCTTCACAAGTGCAGGATATCAAGCTGCGAGCCACGTAACAAAACTCCTCTGCAGTGCAGTCAATACGTTCTCTCTTAAGCAGTTGTTTTTGGGCTTTATACAAAGTCTCTTAGTGTTGCACTTTAGAAACCATGACCTTGAATTCTGTGTTGCCTGAGACTGACCTAACATTTGCTTCTTGTTTTTTTTTTATTAGGATACTGTGGTGCTGACATTAAATCCTTATGTGCCGAAACTGCCCTCTGTGCTTTGCGTCGCTGCTGTCCTCAAATATATGAAAGTCGTGAGAAGCTGCAATTAGATGTCACCTCTATTAAAATAAGAGTAGAGGATTTTGTCGTGGCTATGCAGAAGATTGTTCCAGCTTCACAGAGGGCTGTGACTTCACGTGGGCGACTGTTACCCCCTATTTCCAAACCACTGCATGAAAACACTGTAGCAGAAATTCTGCAAGCCTTGCAGAAAGTATTTCCCCACATAGAGGTTGCACTGAAGAAGAACCAACAGCAAGGTACAGGAAAATCGACTTCTTTAAAATTCTGCCAGGGCAAAAGTTCTGGTTTGTGCAATCAACACAGGCAAACCTCTTGGCTGTAACGACAGTAGAATGTTGTAATACACACATGCACAGCGCTGCCTGGGAGCTGCGAGCGACTCGTCCTTTGGAGTGGAGCGCTGTGCGTTCTCCGCTAGAGCACCCTGTTTCTGACAGTAGCTAACATGGTCTTTGTAATTTGTAGAGGTGGATCTAAAGTTTATTGTACGAGGCCTCTCTTTCAAAATCAATGTTTAAAGGGGGAGACGAGGGTATTTTTACCTGAATGCTGCTTATTCCTCTTGGAAGAATGTCAGGACCACAAGACAAGTGGTTTAAGCTAGATACTGGTTTAGGCGTCATGACTTTTAACCATAGTCTTGGATTGAAACGTTTGTGGATCCCACTGTACACTTGCACATGAGATCAGAATGTTTTAGGAGGGGATGCTTCAGGGCTTGGCTTGCACAATATATGTAAGCTCATGCTTGTGACTGCATCAACCCTGATCAGATTTAGTCTGTCAGTTGGTGTGAGCAGATAAATGTATAAGGTCACTCTGCTCCTGATTAATGGAAATCTGTGACTAGTTAGTTATGATGCTAATTCCTGGAGAATGTTGCACCAGCATTGCTCCCAGTAGAGCTGGGAGATGTATTTGCATTGGTAAAACAGAGACAAAACCCCATCAACGAAATCAGAGCAGAGAGGCTCAGGGACTGGTAATTGCATCCCCTCCCTGATGCCCCCTTTCCCTTCTCTCCTCTTTCACCGACCTTCAAGGAGCTTTATTGAGCAGATGTGTTGGTCTCTGTAGTCTGACATGGCATCCGCTTACTTGCCCCACGTCCAGTGGGGGAACCTGCTCCAGGAGCTACAGAAGTTGTTCCTAATCATCTTTATTCTAAGGAAATGGCCTCCAGGTTTTCACTGACAGAGGGATAATAGCTTATGCAAATCATGGAATATAGGACAGCTTTGTAGAGACTCGTGCAGTCTCCTTAGATCTGTGGTAGAAGGAACTCCTCAGAAAACAGCTTTCAGCACATGCCCTCCAATACAGTTGGTTTCCAGCACTGATTTAGAACTAGCTCTGTTAATGGGAGAGCAAGGTCTGGACTATTCAGGAAGGTTAACAAACTGGTCTTGTCTTTCAGACAGTTTAAGAGATGATGTGATTGACAGCCATGAGGAGGTGCCATCTGCCTTTGAAGATGAGCCGGCTTGTAATACACCCTCTAGAGGAAAGGAAAGCCTCCTGAATTTCAGCAGGTAAACGTTTATCCCCTTTATGTTTCCATTTTGAAGATGTCTGGGTCTGTAAACAGCTTTGGTGTGAGGGGTGGTAGATGAAGGAGTCAAGAGCTGTTGGGGAGGGTGTTTATCAGTATTTGCAAGAAGTAAGCATGAAGATCGAGCTGGGTACTGATGTTCTAACGGACGGAGTACACTGTCATGACTGATCAAACTGACCAGCCCAGCCCTCTTTTCCCAAGTCAGTGGTCCACAGACTATTAGAACATGTTGGCTTAACCCTTGGTATTCCTTGAAAGACTCCAGACCAGAGAAGTGTACTGTCTGTCCTTTTAGCTAAAAAACCCCTATGGATTGGTGTAGCCATCTTTTGACCTTCTGCCTTCCCAGATTGCGAAACCAGCAGGAAATCATGTAGCAGAAACAAAACCGAGAAATGGTTTGTTGAACCACTGTGAGAAAAATGTCAATGATATCTGCATTTTCTACCTTTCACCTACTGAGTTTATGTTAAACTTTTGACATTTTACTGTGGAAGTTGCATAAGCCAAGATCTGACAAAATAGATTCCTGTCGTCACTGTGGGTCAGTTATTTTTTTGAGTGTCTGTCACTGTGCTGTCCAGAAAATCTTTGGACTTGCTGAACTTGGTTAGGTCTCTAGGATCATTGACTTTATCCAGTAAAGCTGCCAAAAGTATTGGAGTGGAAAAAGCAAATGCTGTTCACAAATGTGTTTTGTGCGAGTAAAGCAAGATGACTGGGAAATTAATGCATAATCCGAAGTGAAACAATTAGAGTGTCTGAATAAATGTAAATCTTCTATGTCTTCAGTATACCTCTTGAAACCAATCCAATTGTGTACTTCGGATAACAGCTAATGTGTTTCAGTGCCCATGTTAATTTTTGTCTAAAAATGGGCCTCTGTCCCTTCCTTCCCACCAGCTCCAGTAGCTATGGCCAAATTTCAGCTAAACTTGACCAATGTAGAGATCTCATGGTTATTTAAACTCAAGACCTGCTGAGAACTGGTGTGTAGGGGCAGTGAAGAGGTCCAGATTGCTGGGTGCTGGAAGAGAGTTGTTTTCCCCCATAGCAGGTTACTGACCAGTTATCATGTGTGTATTGAGCTGGACGGTCCCCCTGTGGGATTTAAGAGCTGGTACTTAACCTCGTCCAGCGAAGAGCAGACGTGCTGCGGGTTGGCAGGTTTTCTTAGGGCAAGTATGGTACCAGTTTGTAACAAAATGGGCTGTGATGGTCTTCCTGATCACAGACCGCCTTATTATTTGCTTGAAGATGAAGAGTATTTGCCAAAAGAGAAAAGTGTGTAGGAAAAAACACTTTAACTTCTGTGTGTCTAGTCATCACTTCCATTTTCAAACTTACTTTCTCCTTACTGTTCTAGAAATGCTTATGATCAGCCGACATCTTGCAGGCCACGTTTCTTATTAGTCGGAGAGCCAGGATATTGGTACGCTTCTCATCTGGCACCTGCAGTAATACACACCCTGGAAAAGTTTCCAGTTTACACACTAGACCTCCCCACTTTGTTTAGTAGCATCAGGTCTCCAGAAGAAATGTGTGCACAGGTATGTGTTTCCTCTTTAACCTCCTAAAATGCACAAACTGTATGTAAAGGAGTAAAGTCAGCAAACTTCATTGTTAATGGAGTTGGCCTGGCTTGAATGTATATGTTGTTTTTCTTTTTGTCTGAAAATCCACTTTTCTTCTAGATCAAATGACACTGACTAAGGATGTTGTACATGCTCGTATTTTCCATTTCAAATGAAACAGCGAGGATGTTGTTAGCAGCTGGGGAGGATGGGAGGTGCTGCCAATAAACCTCTCTTTATGGCAAGAAATCCTGCCGGACTCGGTGGGATCCAGAATGTTGTTTTCATTGCTGCTTAAGACTCTGTGCTCCCAGCAGATGGCTGTGGGTCAGCCTGACTGTGTGCCGTGCACTTTCTGTAGCCACCTTACATATTTGTAAAGCAACCGAGGTTTTAGGGAAAAGTGTTTCTGTTTTAGAAATATACAGCTGCCCTGCTGCAGTATATGTGGTAAAAGCATTAAAATTCATTGAATGCTTACACTGGTACTATGGTGTGGGGTTTTTAACTAGGGAGTTAGCAGATTTAGTGCTGCTTTCCTCTTTACTTGTAGGCAGGAAATGCATTTCATTGTTTGCCATCGCTGTATTAAAATACTCTGATCTTTAGTAGCAGTGTTTCAGAGCTGTACAAGGAAGTGACAAGATCTGTCTTTAAAAAATTGATGTGATTTAAAATTATTTAAAAAAAAATGTTTCTACTCTTGTCCAGCAAATATCACGCAATGGATTTCAAGAATGACTCAGATGTTTTTCATGAGATTTTTGTGACCTAATGCATAAAAGGAAAAAAATCCTCCAGACCCTTGAATTTACTCTAAGTTTCTGCAAGTTGTCAATACTGGATCAAGCATTTCTATTTATCTCCTGAAGGTCAGATTTTACTTTTAATGTGATGATACCTCTTAGTTCCTGACAGATTATTTCCATGAATCAGATGGAAGCAGGGTTAATTGAGGCTAGGCGGCTGTATACAAATGGCTGAAAAATTCCACCCTTCCACTCTTCAGCATATGTCAAATATGAATTTCCCACAATACCAAATTCAGTATTCAGTTATGCATAACTTTTAAAGGTTATCTTATTTATTTGGTGGGTAGAAATGATGAATGATGGGACAAATCTTGTATTTCTCATTCCTCTCTTTGTTAGGGTAAACCACTAGGCCCAGATTTCTCAGAGTAAATGATGATGTTGATCACTTTGAGCTCCAAGCAGGCAAAGAGACACACCTTGTAGGGGCCCTCACTGCTCTCAGCATAAATCTGCTTGCTCTGAAAAAAGCCAAATAAATAATCACATCTTTAAATTGATGCTCCTTAAAAAGATGTAATGAAAACTCCCAGTTCTTGCAAGTGTGGGTTCCACAAACTCAGTCTCAGGGCTCTCAATGATCCTGATTAGCCTCACCTGGAGCTTCCACCCACACCCCTGCCCAGGAGTCCAGTTTCAGGTCAGCCCTGGGCACATCCCCCCCCCCTGCACCAGGCACACTGTAGCTGTGCCTGTCTCCCTTTGTTGCTGGCCCTGTCCTGGGTGGACCTTAGATTTGTATTTGCAGCCTTGCTTCAGGATCTGTCTCTTCCTGCTCTGGATGGACAGAGTTTTTGTATGGAAAATTCCCCTCGATGAAACGTTTGCTTTGAGAAGTGTGATTTGGAAATGCATATTTTATTTTGATTCTGTGATCTGCAGGATCAATAAGGATTCAGGTACTTTGTATACATCAGAGCATATAGGATGAGAAACTGCTTTGAAACTACAATGTACAAGCAAACATGAAGTCATATGTGCTGGGTTTAGGAATGGTATTAGAATAGGCAGGTCAGAAAACACTCTTATAGAAGAATTGCGATGCTTGAAAGCTAGTAAGTTATTTTTGAGATAGATATGAGAAAAAAAATGGTGCTAAATAGTAAAGGAAGCTCAGTAAAGCACACTTACGTATTGTAATCTGGTATGTAATTTTGCTGTAAGGCAGAGATTCCTCTCAAAACAGTTCCAAAGTCTGCATAACAAAGAGAGAAATTTTACAAAAATATGCCACTACATGTCTCAAAGAATGAATCAAATAGCTGACCAAGGGCAGGGAACAGAGGCTCAGATGCCCATGCTGTTAGTGTTGAAATTTAAAGGTCACAGAAATTGATGTAGGCCCCATCACAGTTGTATTTCCAATAATCTTTGGGTTCTCATATGTAAAGTTTGGGAATGGTATTTAAGGAAAAAGGTTTTGGATTTTTGACTTGGCTATTGCTTTAGCGGGTAACGGTGCTTAACATGCACGCTTCCTTGCTTTCTCGCTGTGAATTAACTGTTACTGAAAAGCAGGATCAGGGAACTTCTAGCCCCCAATTTGATGCAGATAATCAGACACTTCTTTGTGGACAGCCAGGTGTGCGAGTGAGTGCTCTCACCAACAATGCAGACCAAGCACTAAGACCATACGTCGTACATAGTATTTATTCATATGTATTCATTAAGTATTCATACATAAACATACTATTTCCTAGAAATCATGAACATACTCTCCTTCTATTTCCGATTCTGTGCAGTAGAACCCAGAAATGTCTAGAAATGGGTCTGGTGTGTAATAGGGGTCGGTGGAGTATGAGTCGCTGGACACAATCTCTCCCCACCAGAATTACCTTTTGCCTAGTTTCACTGTTTCTTGGCATGGGCCTACAAGTTGTTACAGTCAGTTTTCCCTAGTATTCATTAATTCTAAATTCTGACAACTCTGTACATTCCTTAAAAAATATTTTAGGTAATAAACTACTTCTGTTTAGACATCTCTATGACTACTTTAAAATTATCTTTAATCTCACACCTAATTATCTAAACTCCTAAATATACCTACTAGGTGATTATTGACCACTTCTTCAGCCTTGGTACAGGGCTGTACAGGGGATTCCATAGTAGCCTTGGTTGCTGGGTAAATGTGCAATATGCAAAGGTAAATATTTGCCTTACATTAAAATCATTCTTATATTTTCATTTTTCTAGAAGTTTTGCTATTAGATCATCAAGTAACTTAATAACAAGTCAGTAACATTTTCCCCCCTTTGAAATTGTTGAAAACTATTCCAGTACTTTCATATTATGTAGTACTCTGTATCTTAGTATCTGTTTCACTATATGCTGGTGGTGCACTATATACTGGTGGAATGGTTGGAACCTCTCTCATGACTACGATTAAATGCAGTTTTGCTGGTAAATTGTTTCTTTAGACCGGCATAGAGCAGCATTATCATCAAAAAGACAATTAGAAACAAAGTTTTAATCAAGGATTGAAGCCAAGAGCTCAAATTCCATCCTAATCCGCTAAAAATCTTACCTAACCAATCTTCTGACATGGCTTCTCATATCTCTTCAGTTTCTTTCTTATTTTTTCCCAACAGATCCAGATCGTGCTGTACAACCTGGGTGACGTTCGGAAAATGAATGCAGCAATGATCTAATTTATCCTTGAGATATCCACACACTCCATGCTCTTTAAGTAGAAGCGTGCCTAGAGCCATTCTATTTTGGAGTGTCATCCTAGAAGTTGCCTGCAACTGTATGTTTAATTCCTTGAATCCTTTCTTTGTGACATTTGCTACCCTTTCTACTTGTCCTGTTAACTGATATAACCATTCTCTATTTCTGTATGAGGCTGTGGGATTCAAAAGGGATTCAAGGGCCCAGCCAATTCTTACTCCTGTTGATGGTTCATTCTATGTGTCATCTGTTTCTGATCTCTTGGTCTGCTGTAATTTTACATTTTTCTAAAGATCCTTTAAATGGAGACTTTTTCCAAATTGGGCACAATGTTGGCATGTCTAACATAATTTGTTTCACCTTTCTGTCTAATGGTAAATGAGTTGTTCAGGTTCCATCACTTAATGCCCAAACTAAATGTCCTGGACTCTGAATAGTAGATTTTCTGCATCTAAACAAGGTTCCCTTCCTGGGTGTAAATGTGCTGGTTAAATTGAGACTATTTTTTAGACCTCGACAAAAACAGCCAAATTTTAAAGCAGCCACCAAAGGAGGGATTCTTTGAATTATTAAATCTTCATTGCTGCAGTCATACACCTTTTCTTTCACGTTTCCACCATGACACTATTTTGTCCTCTTTCTCTCTCAGTGAAGTTCCTTTATCGTCTACTGAGGGTAGGACTGCAAACCCTTTTCCATCCCAAGTGAAACACCAATGAGTTCTAGCCATGTACTGAAACGGAGAGAATATGGACATGGACATACATAGCCCTGCTGTTCTTCCTATCGTGTAACTTCACCAGTTTTGTTACACTGCCATTCCATGATGCTTCTGCTCACATTGTTTTTGATCTGTTCGTCACAGGAACACCATCCTAGCTGGGGATTTGGACTCCCAGGAAGAAGAATCCAAGCTATGGTACCATGTTGGGATCCTGTTATAAAATCATAGTGCAATAACTTTTAACAACCTGTTTCTTTGCCTGGCATCTTCCACTGTTTTCTGATAACTTTTACTTGTTCATACCACTCAACAGCAGGTTTCTGTTTGCAGTAAGTCTTGGTTTTATGTTCCAGGTTGGTCATATTCATGGTTAAGATTCCCCATGGAACAAATTCACCTACTGCTCTTGGTATTGGTAAACAAGCAGTAATCCATGGGACATCCTGCAAATTGGCAAATCCCTTAATCAATCATAACATCAGATTTTCTCTGGGTATTTCTTTAGGGATGCTGATCAGCTGCTATGTTTCTATTTGTCTTTTGTTCCTAATCAACAAAGCAACCCATGATCCCACCAGCACTAGCTTCCAAGCTAATACAAGAACAGCTATCACAAACTAGTATGAGAAATTAGACCTGTTTCAGAGTCAATTTTAAAGTCTCTGGATCTCAGTTAATAATCTTCCATGGAGTAGGTGCCGCCTTCACCTGCATATAATGTATCCAAGCATCTCATTCTGCAATCTGGATAGCTGTAAAGGTGATTAACAGTATCTGGAAAGGTCCCTTACAGTATTTTTGCAGAGGTTTGGAAGTACACGTCTTCACATAGACATAATCTCCTGGTTGAAAGTCATGCACTGGATTCTCCAAAGATAGGGCTCTGTTCCACACTACTGTGCTTTGAATCACAGTCATGGCTTTCCCTGAGGAAGGCAAATATTTATACACATCTTTTTTTCCTTTTCACATGAATATTTGGATTTGGTTCTGGGGACTCATATGGTTTCCCATATAATTCATAAGGACTGACTGAGGTACCAGTCTTTGGTTGTACTCTAATTCACAATAATGCCAATGGAAGTGCTTGAGGCCACTTTAAATTAGTTTCATGATAGATTTTGCTGATTTGTCTTTTTAGAGTCTGATTCATTCTTTTCACTTCTCCACTGGATTGTGGCCTCCATGGGGTATGTGAATCCCAAGTGATTCCTAAAATGTTGCAAACACTTTGTATTACTTCAGCAACAAAGTGTGGACCTCTGTCAGGAAATTCCAATAGGGCCTCCAAATCTCGGAATTATTTCCTGTAGTAACTGCTTTACTACTTCCTTTGCTTGAGTGAAACAACAGGGAAAAGCTTCTGGCCATCCCGTAAAGGTATCAAACCCCACCAGAATGTTATCGGTACCCATTTTGTCTAGGTAGCTCTGAAAAATCTACCTGCCAATAATCTCCAGGTTCTGTTCCAGATTTTAGTCTGCCCATTTGGACCCTTTTCTTAATCTCTGGATTATTTTTCAAACATACTTCACATTTTGCAGCTAACATTTTAACCGATACTACTTGCCTTTGTAAATGAGTTACTAAGGCTTCCA